GCTGGCAAACAGAAGTTCTGACCAATACTCAGAGACAGTGACAGGCTGTCCATACAACCAGATCAGAACTAGTCAAGGACCCTCGGCCAGCATGAAGGTCACTCCAGGATCCAGGAGGACTCACCAGTATTCCCCCAGGGAGACACAGGGTCCAGCATTCCAGTACTGTAGGTGGGGAAACAATCCATAAGCATGTTACGGTTATTCAGAAAGCGTATTTTCTCTCTCTCTCACACCCCCCCTTTCCCTCCCCTCCCGTCTTCTCCCCTCTTTCACCTCTCTCAACATTTCAATAGATCTTAAGGCAAATAATCTGATTCATATATGAAGGAAGGCATGGCTTGCTTTCTACTTTGCACAACACATCAACTGAACGTTTAAGGATAAACAAATGTCAATCAGGGAAACACCTCCTGTCCAGGCCCCACAGCTCAGTTAGTGAAGAGGAGGAAGTGCACCTCATCGTTCTCACTGCAGCCTGGAGGGTGGAGGAGCAGAAGCAGATTCCAGCCAGGAAGCTGCTTAGGGAAGGTCCAGGCGAGGGGCAAGGGGACCTCCAGCAGCGTAGGTCGGAGGCACAACTCCTGCACCAACGCCTTCTCTAAATCTTCATTCTATCCTGTAGCAAATGTACACAAGAGTACAGGTGTTGTTCAGGGGTTTATAAAAAGATCATCTAGCACAGTCTCTGGAATGAAAAGTGGACATGGACGCAATCAGCAAACACGCAGATGTTAAACTACAAGGCTGCCCCGCTTCGGTGAAAGGCAGGGGGCTGCAGGCCCTGAGTCCTTGGCGCTCCCCACGGCCCAGGAAACCGGGCTCCGGGTGACCACTGTTTCTTGGCAGCTGTGCCCAGGCTCAGTGAGGAGCCAGCAGAAAGGGACAGGAAGAAAGCCCTGGGGACCAGGGCCAGGGCCAAGGCGCCCTTCTGGTGAAGCCCCACCGCCTTGCCTCACAGGCGTTGAAACTAGGACTTCTCCTCTGCCAGAGGAAGCGGAGAAATGAGATCTGCCTTCTTAGGCTGTTTTGATTTTGAGGTTTAATGAGTGTTGTTTCTGGGGAATTGGTTGCTTTAATTAATGATGCGCCCGGGATCTCCTAAGTGAAGCTCGCTGGCAAACATGAATATGGAATGAGAGCGGCTGTGCATCCCCTCTGGAGCTGGAGGTGCGGCTCTTAGGGTCCTCAGCTCCCAGCAGGAGCACAGCAGCCTCCGTAAGAGGAAGAGCTTCATACCTGGGCCAACCAGGCGCTGTCTGCGCATCTGGTTTACAGCACAATTGCTCCTTCATTTTCCTTAAAAGCTGGGGCCGTGAACAAGGAAACCGAAGAGGAAAAATAATCCGCGTGCTTTGGTGCACTTTTAGGCCTTCTAACTGCTTCTAAATTGATGAGCCAGTTGTGAATGAGGATCCCTCGCTCTCAGCACATTTGGGGCTGGATAATCCTTTGCAGCAGGAGAGTTGTTCTGGGCAGTGTGGGAGGCTTGGCCATCATCTCTGACATCCACCCACCAGATGCCAGCATCACTTCCCTTTCCTGAAAAATCAAAACTGTTTGCAGACATTGACAAATGTTCCCTGGAGGCAAGACTGGCCCAGGTGGGAGCCACAGGTCTACAGAAACGGTTTCCTTTCAGGCAGGGCAAGAGCAGGTGTAGCAATCAGCAACAAACATGTTCATGGAGGACTTGGCAAAATACTGTGCTTGGTATCACAGAAAACATAAAAATATTATTATGCAGTAGCTGGAAGGACCTTGAAGCAGAATTCTAGATTTATTTCTTCAGTTTACCAGCCATGTGGCCTTGGACAACATATTTGCTCTTCCTGAGTTTCTTCATCTAGCAAAGGAATGAATTTGAGAAATGCAGGGCAAAGGTATATATTGCAACTGGATAAGCAGAAAACACAACTGATGTTGATCAAATGAAAGTATGGCATGTCCTTGGAATGGTCATTTTAGATGAGAGTACCAGAATTTAAAATGATCTTGAAAAGCCACATCTAGGTAATGATATTGGAGAATAGATAAAGTCATGCAGCTGGACTCAGAAATTCACTCAGTAACCCAAATACTAACCTTGGGAAGACTGGTGAAAACCCATTATATGGGTAAAACTAAGTATTTCAAGAATCTTAATAAGTCAATTAAAATTCTTACTCTTAATGACATAAAAGAAGTCTTGTATCTTGATGAATAATGTAATGTTCCCAAACCAGGAACATGATATTCAGTTTAAACCATAACGGTCTAAAGAAGGCACATTATAAATACCTCAGACGTCTTCCTGACATGAACAACCAAGTGGTTTGCATATGTTAGGATTTATATCTGGATGTTCCCCCAAAAACTTCATGTGCTTACAGGTGGGGCTTTTGGAAAGTGATTGGATTTTAGGGGTGTTGTAGCTGACTGTGCTGTCAAAAGGTAACATCTGCTCAGAAGACCGGGCCACGGGGGCGTGGCCTGGAAGGGTTTATCTGCTTCTGCAGCTCTTTCCTGATCTCTCTGCTTCCTGGTGCCATGATGTAAGCAGCTTCCCTCCACCCGGGCCCTTCCTGTCCTGGAGCCTGCCAATTATGGATTAAAACTGTGAGTCAAAATAACCCTCTCCTTAAGTTGTGGGTGTTGGGTATTTTGTCCCAGCAACAAGAAAAGTGATGAAGACAGCGTATCTCCTGGAATCTTTTCCTTCGCTCCAACAGTTTTATTGAAGGCCTACGATAAGGCAGGCTGTTTAACCTCTGAAAGGTCAAGACTGGGACAAGCAGGCAGTGAGATAATCTCTGCCTTCATGGAATGTAGCTTCTCAGAGGAGACAGACAATAGATAAGAACTGTTAGTAAGAGTGAATATTATGTAGTAATTTGAATTGAGAAGCAAAAGTGAATCAGGGAATCTACATTGAGAGAATTTGTAGGAAAAAAACCATGAGAAGATGGGATTTAAGCAAAGACCTTAGGCAGAGAGTAAGCAAGCAAACAAAAGCCATAACAACAAGTGTATAAACACAAATTAGAGTTTAGGGGATGCCTTCAAGGAGTAGCAATAAGCTACATGTGCTGATGAACAGAGAGCTGAGTAGTAGGAGTTCAAATCATAGAGATCTTTATAGGATGTAGCTCAATGGTAGGGCACTTTCCTAGTATGTGTGAGGCTCTGGGTTCAATCCCCATCATGGCAAAAAAGAGAAAGAGAAACACTTATCGGGTGAGGCAGAAAGGAATAATCGACTGGAGAAAAGTTTTCATGTCAACAGACTAATCTGACCACTGTGTGAGCACAAGTCAAATGGGAAAAAGGGCGTACGTAAGAATAACAGTGAAGAGGCCACTTCAGTGAGCTAAGAGTTTCTTCAATGGCTTCAGTCAGGACACAACAGGAAACAGAACAAATGGCGCTTGGGATACGAGAGAAAAAGAGACCTTTGATCTAATTAAATGGGAAGGCTGAAAGCCATGACCAAGATAGTGACTTCACAGTACAAACTTTACTTCACACTCCTGTGAATTGGCCGTTATCTCATTTAATCCTCCAATCAGTCCCATTTTACAGATGAGTAAATCATAGATTGCAAGGGATCCAGCTATATGCAGGCTGGACAAGGTTTAGGTTGGTAAAACTGATAACCCTGAGCTAAGCTTAACTTTCTTACTGTTTTACTATTGCTTCAAATAGTGAGCAATGCAAACATATTTGTACAAGAACAAGATGGGAAGGAGATATGTTTCTCTAGGGACTTTTTTGTTTAGGAAGAACACCAAAAGGACTAGTTTCAGAGCTCATGAAATAAGCTGATCTTGAAGGTTTTACAATAAATTTGCTCTCCATTCCTTTTTAGACTGGGAAGGAACCACATCAGTAGACTCTCTAAGGTCAAGGTTCCAAGTTCAGAATAATTGGTTGGACCATTTTTTGCTAATGCACTTCCCAACTTTTGCTTCTTCCTGGCTGGTGGGCGTGTGAAGCTCCTGGGCACGGGCTACCATCAGAAACAAAGCCAAGAGCCTGCTTGTCACAGCTGCTCCACAGTGTCTGCCCAGTGAGGTATTCAAGAATAGACTCAAGCAATTCTGAAAGACACAGGTGTGATTTAAATCTCAGCTATGGCTTGGACTAGCTTCATGAAGCAAGTTCAAATGTCTTGGACATAAGCCTGCAGGTTTGTTGGTTTGGAAACTATGCTGAAATAAACTGTAGAAATGTTATATAGTTCTGCAGTACAGAAATCCAAAGTATTCTAAACTCTGTGCAGTAAACTTATTCAAGTACTTTCATATCTTTAAGTGATCCATTGGCAATGATACCTAAATGGAGTGGGATGTTGAGTCAAAGATCCTTTCCATAAAGTCAAAGCCAGCAAAGGGCAAATCCTCATTAGGTGCATTAGCTTTCCATCCCTGTGACAAATCATCAGCTCTAAAGAAGCACATTTTTATATTGGCCCATAGTTTCAGAGTTGGCCCAGGTTATTTTTGGATCTGTTTGTGAGGGAGGATATCATGGCAGCAAGAGCATATGGAACAAGAATCTGTTCATTTCCCAGAGGACGGGAACCAAAAAGAAAGAGAAGGGGCCAGAGTGCCAGTTCCCTTCAAGGCCACACCTCCAGTGACCTCACTTCCTCCCATGAGCCCCCACCCAAGAGTGCAGAACATCCCAGTGGTGCCACAGGTTAGTGACCAAGCCTATAGCACAGGGCCTGTGGGGTACATCCCAGACCCAAACCGTAACAATGGGTGAACTAAAAACCTTTCTATCCCTATAGAAAGTCATGGAAATACTTGCTTTGCAGGTTAAGTTTTGTGTGAAAGGGAAAATATGAATGAAGAACAAAAATTAATCTCTCCCCTGAGGATCCCTCAGATAAACCTACGTTCTCATGGTTTGAGACCCAAAGTCCACACTGCCTATTGAAAACTCCAGCCAAAGATAATGCAGGTGATCTTTGGATAATAGTGTTCCCAGGAACCTAGTGGAAAATCCAGATCTGCTTTAAAGGACTTCATGCACTTTCTGCACAGGCTCAATGAATTCTCAGGGTAAAGTTCAAAGTCAAAACTTTTATCGCACAGAAGGAAACAAACCGCAATAAAAGAGAGTTGGCAGATAGAACACACAACAGAATCAAATTATGGAGGCTAGATATTGGAATAATTTATCTCAAAATATTGAAGAAGTGTATTTAATGTGTCTGAAAATTAGTATTGAACAATATGAGAAAAGCACTAGAGACATTAGAGTTGGCCAGGACGGATTCAATCCCCTGCACAGCAAAATTGATTCCAGCATCAAAAAACAGCAAATTAGACTCAGCAGTGGAGAGATTTAGTGAACTGGAAAATGGAAATTTAAGAAAAAATTTTCCAAAACCCTGTCCAGAGAGACAAAAGAAAAATGTGAAATAGGGATTAAAACATATAAAGAAGACAAAGTCTGCCATTCTGAGTTGGTTTTGAAAAACTGAGGGAAATGTGAACTATATCAAGCGCAAAATTCAGGTGACTTCAAAAGCTGCCCCTGCTGCGCAGATTATTAATATTAGAAGAGCACGGGTAACTGCCGAGTCCCAAAGCTGAGAGGAACGGCTGCTGACTCCAAGACTTCAGGCAAAATACAGATGAAAGGGAAAATCTGATCACCCTTCTCTCCATCCCATTCAAATTGATAGCGACATATTCATATAGCCCAAAGGAAGGCGCCAACTGGGTCCTAAAGGCCACAGCTACGGAGAAACCTGTACTGGGGGCGTGGACAGGGGATGGGAGGGGATCTCTTCACAGAACTGGTTACTGCTCGTTCTTCCTGCTTTTATAACCCCATTGGAACAATCTAGTAAAAAGGTAAACTCTTGCCACAAGTAGCCAAACGTCCACCTTTGGGAAAAGATCTGAAAAGCTCACCCTGTGGGTCCTGGGTGAGGCCCGTGTTCTACAGAAGAAAATCGCACCACAGAACAGAAGTCAGCAAGCTTTTCACACAGGACTGGGGAGTAAATATTCCAGACTTGTGGGTGCAACTACAAAATGGCCGCCGAAATGCAGAAACACTCATCGACAATGCAGAAGTGAATATGCGTGGCCGTGTTCCAATAAAAGTTTAGGAAAATAGGAGGTAGGCTATAGTTCACTCATCCCGCTGTAAAAGATTATCTAGAGGTGCAAAGACTGGCAGGACATATGAAATGAAACTGTTCTAAAATTATGTATTTTCATGGTCACTCATTTTTAAACTCTCACTGTTAGGATAATTAATGGACCAATGGACCAGGGATTTAGCTCAGTGGTGCTGCCGCCTGCCCTGCAAGCCCAAGGTCCTGAGTTCAATCCTCGGTACCAAAAGAAAAGAAAAAAAAAAAAACTAACTCTTAGGATAATTAAGAAAATCTGTGCTATAATACCTGCACTTAGTGGGATTGCACAAAAGCCTGGGAATGATGACCAAGTAAGCCAGAATGGCTCCATTCACACCAGTACAGTGGTGATAAAGATCGGAACAGAGAGAGCAAAAATTACTTTGTCACAGGGCACAACATGTGGTGGAAACGCCCATTATTTTCACAGTCAAAGTCATTTACCCCTGTGCTAGAGAAACCCCAGAGCATAAGCTGAGGAAAAATTCCGAAGAGAACCATAGCACTAGAAGGCACAATGGGATTGATGGTGTTCGCCACGTACCCTTGCCTTTCGATTCTGTGCCTCTGGCTTTTCAAGTAAATCAAATTTCAAGAGTTTTAAATTAAGTATAACAATGCTTTCTTCTGCCATTTTGAGGGAAATAAGTGCTCTGTAACTTTTGCTAGGAGAATCGAGAAGTACATATTATAGCACTTTTACCTAGTAAAATTACTCTCTATTTTTTTGAATTTAATAATCAGTGCAAAATAATAGCTAATCCAGTGGAATGAATTCTGTCTGCAGAATTGTGGAAAGAGTTAAATTTGTGAACCAAGGTACCACTGTATTACCGGCTGTTTAGTCCAGGCACCATTCTAGTCCACATGTATTATCTTATAAAGCCTTGTAACTCAATAATGTGGGCACTGTAACTGATTTGCAAAGGATGTGTTTAACCAGCTGTCTTAGTCACTTTCCTCACTGCTAGGACAAAAAAACCAAAGGAAGAGAGTTTGGGCTTATAGTTTCAAAAAGTCTCAGTCCTTACATGGTTGGCCAACTCCCGGACAAAGCCATGTGGTGAAAGGGCCTGGGCAGAGGACAGTGGCCTGGATCTTGATGGCCAGGAAGCAGGGACAGAAGGAAGGAGCCAGGGAGAGAGAAACTAACCTGCCTCTTCTGGACAGGCCCCGCCTTCCAACAGCACACTCAGCTGCTGAATTTAGCCCTGGATTATTCCACTGATGAGTACCACACCCCCATGACCTGCCTGTGGTGCATGAGAACTGTGGGGAACACTCTTGATCTAAACCGTAACAGCAGCAACACCTGCTTAAGGCATACGTTTGCTTCCCCTTCCTGGCTACCCCCATATCCACTCCAAAATCCCAGGTCAGACTCCACGAAGAACTTGGCCAGTATGAGATGAAAGGAAAAAGCCTCAGCAAACAACAGTTCATCTTTTTAGCCGCAGTC